TTTGAAGCTCATGAAAGTGAACGACAGACTCTCGAATACCGTCAAGAATTCATGTGAATTTTGTCAAAGGATCCAGAACATTGGGTCGGTTGTGTCGGAACTGTTGGTGAGTTTCGACGTACAGTCAATGTACACAAAAATCTCAGGCGAGAAGGCGGTAAGCGCCTTGCTGGAGATTTTAGAGCGAGAAGAGCACATGTTGGAGGCAGAACGAATACGGAAAGAACCGTTAACACGATTGATCAACCTGACAATAAGGACCACATATTTTACATTTAACGCCGTCTATACGCAATACCGATCTTAAATCAGAGTTATCAAAAGGCTAATGTCAGTCTGATCATCAAGGACTAATGAACAAAGTAAAGGCCCTGACCGAGACCACGTATGTACGTAAGTCAGTATGGTTTATATAAATAGATATGTGATTGTAAGCAAGTAAGGCAAGTTACGAAACCACTTGTTCTAACCTCTCAGTCGAGGGTCATAAACGCTTAATCCCCAAAGGAAAGGTATGACTGGCGTTGCATAATCTGACATGTCTGGCTTGGTTGAAGAGCTTAATCTAACATGTTGGACGAGTGTGAGTGAAGTTAGGACCATCCCCGAGCGGACAAATTGAGTCGTCTTCTTTTTGACTGCGGTTCAACACCCTCTCTCTCTCTTTCAATCCATCAATCAAGCATAAGTAGTTCCTACTCAACTTCTACCACCGTTCCTCACATTCAACGTATTTCCTAAGCTATTAATTTCAATAGCCTCTCTTATCTTTCTAAAGATAGACGTACCATAATCAGCAAACCTACTAGTTTGAGACCATTCTATTTCATGTCCAGTTTCTACCATGTGTACGGACGTACCATAATCGGCAAACCTACTAGTTCAAGACAATTCTATCTCATGTACAGTCTCTGGCATGTGTTCGGCCACTTCCGACCGTTGGATCCAGCTTCCTTTGCAAGCATTTTTGTATTCTCCAAATCTTTGTCGAATAGGTCGACATGTCTCACCAACATTACCTCGACCAAATGAGCAGACAATCTTGTAGC